AGGATCAGTACGAGCAGTTCATGAGTGATTTTTCCATAGATTTTTCCATGTTTTTTCCAGGAGAGGACAAGGATCAGTACGAGCAGTTCATGAGTGATTTTTCCATAGATTTTTCCATAGATTTTCCCATAGATTTTTCCATGATTTTTCCATGTTTTCCCATGTTTTTTCCAGGAGAAGATGAGGATCAGTACGAGCAGTTCATGGGGGATTTTCCCATGGATTTTCCCATGATTTTTCCATGATTTTCCCATGTTTTTTCCAGGGGAAGATGAGGATCAGTACGAGCAGTTCATGCTGCCCCTCACCGCTGCCTTCGAGGCCGTGGCTCAGATGTTCAGCACCAACTCCTTCAACGAGCAGGAGGCCAAGGTCAGCCAGGCCCAATCCCCATTGCCCGCTTGTCCCGTGGGATTTGGGGGTGCCTGAATCCTTTGGGATCAGTTTAGTGGGAATTGGGGTTCCTGGATCCCTTGGGATCAGTTCAATGGGAATTTGGGTTCCTGAATCCCTTGGGATCAGTTCAATGGGAATTGGGGGTGCCTGAATCCTTTGGGATCCGTTTAATGGGAATTGAAGTTCCTGGATCCCTTGGGGTCAGTTTAATGGGAATTGGGATCAGTTTAATGGGAATTTGGATTCCTGAATCCCTTGGGATCAGTTTAGTGGGAATTGGTATCAGTTTGATGGGAATTGGGGTTCCTGAATCCCTTGGGATCACTTTAATGGGAATTGGGGGTGCCTGAATCCCTTGGGATCAGTTAATTGGGAATTGGGGTTCCTGGATCCCTTGGGATCGGTCCACAGGGAATTGGGATCAGATTAATGGCAATTGGGGGTTCCTGAATCCATTGGGGTGAATTTAGGGGGAATTGGGATGCCTGAATCCCTTGGGATCGACCCAGAGGGAATTGGGGGTGCCTGAATCCCTTGGGATCAGTGTAATGGGAATTGGGGTTCCCGGGGTGCCTGAATCCTTTGGGATCGGTCCAGAGGGAATTGGGATCACTTTAATGGGAATTGGGGTTCCTGAATCCCTTGGGATGAGTTTGATGGGAATCAGGGGTGCCTGAATCCATTGGGGTAAATTTAGGGGGAATTGGGGGTGCCTGAATCCTTTGGGATCAGTTCAATGGGAATTGGGATCACTTTAATGGGAATTGAAGTTCCTGAATCCCTTGGGATCAGTCCAGAGGGAATTGGGATCAGTTCAATGGGAATTGGGGGTGCCTGAATCCCTTGGGATCAGTTCAATGGGAATTGGGATCAGTTCAGTGGGAATTGGGATCAGTTTAGTGGGAATTGAAGTTCCTGAATCCCTTGGGATGAGTTTGATGGGAATCAGGGGTGCCTGAATCCATTGGGATCAGTTTAGAGGGAATTGGGATCAGTTCAATGGGAATTGGGGATTCTGGAATCCCTTGGGATCAATTTAGTGGGAATTTGGGTGCCTGAATCCTTTGGAATCAGTTTAATGGGAATTGGGATCAGTTTAGTGGGAATTTGGGTTCCTGAATCCCTTGGGATCAGTTTAATGGGAATTGGGGTTCCTGAATCCTTTGGGATCAGTTTAGTGGGAATCAGGGGTGCCTGAATCCATTGGGGTAAATTTAGGGGGAATTAGGGCTGCCTGAATCCCTTGGGATCAGTTTAGTGGGAATTGGCATCAGTTTAGTGGGAACTGGGGATTCCTGAATCCTTTGGGATCAGTCCAGAGGGAATTGGGATCACTTTAATGGGAATTGGGGGTTCCTGAATCCCTTGGGATTGATCCAGAGGGATTTGTGATCAGTTTAATGGGAATTGGGATCAGTTTAGTGAGAATTGAAGTTCCTGAATCCCTTGGGATCAGTCCAGAGGGAATTGGGGGTTCCTGGATCCCTTGGGATCGGTCCACAGGGAACTGGGATCAGATTAATGGGAATCGGGGGTGCCAAAATCCATTCGGGTAAATTTAGGGGGAATTGGGGTTCCTGAATCCCTTGGGATCGGTCCAGAGGGAATTTTGATCAGTGTAGTGGGAATTTGGGTTCCTGAATCCCTTGGGATCAGTTCAATGGGAATTGAGATCAGTTCAATGGGAATTGGGGTGCCTGAATTTTACTCTTTTGTATTGTTCTATTTTATTCGATTCTTTTTTCTATTTTTATTCTATTTTTTCTATTTATTTTATTTTTATTTTATTTTATTTTTATTTCATTTTATGTTATTTTATTTTATGTTATTTTATTTTATTTTTATGTTATTTTACTTTTATTTTTATTTTATTTTACTTTATTTTTATTTTATTTTACTTTATTTGACTTTATTTTATTCTATTTCATTTTATTTTATTTATTTTATTTTATTTTATTTTATTTTATTTTTATTTTTATTTTATGTTATTATATTTTTATTTTATTTTATTTTATTTATTTTATTTTATGTTATTTTATGTTATTTCCGTTATT